GGGAATAAGAAAACCCCACTCCTTGTAACAACAAGCCCCGCTCAGAGGGTAGAAAAACCCAGGCGGGGTCCAACGGGGCCCAAGGCCCCCAAGTCAGCCCCTCCCCAGCCTCGAGGTCCTTCACATCAGGACCCGAGGCCGAGTCCTCTCCCCAAGCCCCGCCTCAAAAGAAAAGGCAGGAGCAGCCGGAAAAGCTGGAAGGAGGGGGGGCCCACTGGTCAGACCCAGAAGCTTCGGTTGGGAGAGCGGACTCGAATGCCTCTGTAACCACACCTGAAGGGGCATCCCCCGAAACTGCCCGAGTCTCGAGATCAAGTAACCCCTGCCCCAACTCCGAAACCCTCAGATGCTTCGGGGCCGGAAGCAAGGGGAAAGGGGGACCAGAACGAACAGCAGGAGGAAGGACGAGGGGGTGCGGACTGAACCAGGATCGAAGCAACCCCCACCCCCAAGTCCGGGTCCGAAAAGCAAAGCAGGGCAGCCTCGGGGCATCCGGGTGAGCAACCAACCTAGCGCGTTGCAACAGACGAAACCTAGACTGCAACGCACGTGCCGCCTGTACCCGAATAGAATCATCAGAGGATTGGGTAAAGTGAGTCACAAGCAATCAGCAACACTCACAGGACTCAGGGTCGAAAGTATCACCGACCCAACAGGCAGCGTGGCAGAGGCAAAAACAATGAGGGTCACCCTGAGACAAGGGGACCGAGCAACCCTCAAACTCGCACACAGTGAGTGGGGACTCCGGGGTCACATCCATCGGACCCACGCGCCCCCTAGGGGATTCCCAGGGTCCTGAGCGTTTACTTTAAGAGGACTCGCGCTCAGGTAGTCCCAGGCAGGGTGCTGCAAACCGGCGCCCAAAACTACCAAGCAAACTTCTAAAACTGAACCCCAGGGACGTGTACACTCACGGGGACCTAGCAGGGGGCGCCACCGAGGAGAACAGTGGAAGGGCAAAAACAAACTGAATAAAAGGACAGAACCCCCCACCAGGCAAAAACAAAAAGAAAAACAAAACCCCGCAAGAGGACAGCGAACCCCAAGGAACAGAGCCGGCCGCGATGTCGGGAATTACAAGCTGAGCAGCACCCTGTGCCCCTACCAGTGCAAACTGCCTCTTACCTGCCGGTAACAAGGGAGAACAGAACACCCAAGAGCCCAACAGGCGGCCGAAAAACCGAAAGGTAAAACGGACCAGCAGAGGCAGACCCCGAGGAGCCTGTGGAAGGTGGCCCCAAGCCCCAAGGGCAGTACTTACAGGGCACCTAGGGAAGGCAGCCCTAGGCGCATGCAGCCCGAGTACTGAAGATAACTCCTGGCTCTCGCACCCACAAAACTAACACCACACTCAAAGCACAGTGCAGTAGCGACACCGGAGCCAGAGCACACGACCATCGCCTATAGCATCAGCCTCAAGAACTGAGGTGTGGGTAGCCGGCACGGGGGGTCTGGGGCTCCCCCTTCCCCCTCCCGGGGAGGGGGGAGCTGCGCAGACAGCGGCGCGGCAGTGTGTGACGTCACACTAGTTTGCTTGTTTTCGGTTGGGGAGTTCTATCCACTAGTTCGGTTTTAGATAGCAATTTTAACCAGAATAGGGGTTTGTTTTGGGGCGCTTACCTTTCTGGGTGCCTGTTCCGGTCGATGGCAGACATAGAATGCTTCCAACTACACGGGGGCTTCTATAGGCCATTGCTCGCCTTGCCTCTCTGAGGGGGCCCGGTTCTGGCCGTGGTCCCCGGTAGGCCTAAGAACTCCATACACATGACTGATGCCAAAGTCTGACATTAGCATATCAGCCTGGGATAGCTCCGGGGAGCCGACGGGGCTCCCCCAGAAAAGGCTTTCGACAGAGTTCCCCATAAGAGGTTGTTCTGGAAACTGGAACATATTGGAAGAGTGACAGGTAAGCTACTAACATGGATGAAAAATTTCCTAAACAGAAAAATGAGGGCAGTGATCAGAGGCAATGTATCGGATTGGAGGAATGTCACAAGTGGAGTACCACAGGGTTCAGTTCTTGCACCAGTAATGTTCATTGTCTACATAAACGATCTACCAGTGGGAATACAGAATAACATGAACATGTTTGCTGATGATGCTAAGATAATAGGGAAGATAAGAAACCTATATGATTGTCATGTCCTTCAAGAAGACCTGGACAAAATAAGTATATGGAGCACCACTTGGCAAATGGAATTAATGTGAATAAATGCCATGTTATGGAATGTGGAATTGGAGAACATAGACCCCACACAACCTATAAATTATGTGAGAAATCTTTAAAGAACTCTGACAAAGAAAGGGATCGAGGGGTGGTTCTAGATAGAAAACTGTCACCTGAGGACCACATTAAGAACATTGTGCGAGGAGCCTATGCTACACTTTCTAACCTCAGAATTGCTTTTAAATACATGGATGGAGAAATACTAAAGAAATTGTTCACGACTTTTATTAGACCAAAGCTGGAATATGCAGCGGTAGTATGGTCCCCAAATCTTAAGAAGCACATCAACAAACTGGAAAAGGTGCAACGACATGCCACTAAGTGGCTCCCAGAACTGAAGGACAAGAGCTACGAAGAGAGGTTAGAGGCATTAAATATGCAAAAACTAGAAGATAGAAGAAAAAGAGGCGATATGATCACTACGTTCAAAAAAGCAACAGGAATCGATAAAATTGATAGGGAAGAATTCCTGAGACCCAGAACTTCAAGAACAAGAAGTCATAGATTTAAACTAACGAAACAAAGCTGCCGGAGAAATATAAGAAAATCACTTTTGTAAACAGAGTGGTAGACGGTTGGAACAAGTTAGGTGAGAAGGTGGTGGAGGCCAAAACCGTCAGTAATTTCAAAGCATTACAGAGCACCACTTGGTTTCCGAACCCCTTGGGGACGAGACCCGTCGGTTAACATGTTAGTTCGTATACGAGAAATGAAGGAAAAATATAAAAAAAACGTGTGAAAAAATCTAGGGGAAAAATCGACAGGTTCATAGCGTAAATGCGACCATATTTTGTTTGTACTCACCAATAATTGAAGTCCTGATCTGCTTATGTTGATGACTGATGTTGATGAAGCATAGTTATTTATATGGAAGAGGCGGTGGTGGATGTTGATGGTGTTGGTTTGACTGAAGTTGTTGGGTTGACTGGGTCAACATGCAATGAGTCAGGTGCAGGTGATGCAATGCGAGCTTTCTTGGAAGCCATTGCAAAAGACTCTGTAATTGACATTTGTTTCATTTCCTTGGCTCTTGTTTTTAAAAACTTCACATACAAATTGTACTGAGTCATCATGTCCATAATTTCAAACTCGCTGTTACTCGTGTCCATAAATGCCAGAATTTCTTAAAAAAAATTCTGAATTTTTTCCATATTACAATTTTCCTTTAACGTTTCTTCATCCTCTTCCTCTCCATCTTCTTCATTGCACTCGTCTGGCTTTTTTGCTGTACATACTAATTCTATAATTTCATCATTAGTCATGTTTCGATTGTTTGGGGCTTCTTCATCAAAATCTATCCGTCTATTTATGTCATCTTCTATTGTTTCAGTCACTAGTTCTGCTCTCAGCTCAGGGGACTTAATTCCCTTGACATAGGCTAGGAGTTCCTCTCTTAATTTTTTCTTCTCGCTAACTTTCTTCACCGCAAATCCTTCAAAATCTGCCTCGTCATCTTCCTCAAGAAACAGACTTGATATGGGCCAAAGTTTTTCCAACCATTTCTTAGTATTGTCTGCTTTACCTCATCCCACACACTAGCAATAGTCCATATAGCTGACTTTATTGTGAAGACTTTATAAAAGTCCTTAAGTGTTCCAAGCTGATTATTAAGACGTCTGGCAAACATCCTCTTGTAGTGGTGTTCAAGGTTTTTAATTATTCCTTGATCCATGGGTTGGATCACTGAAGTTGTATTGGGTGGCAAGAACGTTCCAATATTATTGCCATTTACTAGCTCATTACCTCGTGGATGCATTGAACTGTTATCTAACAGCAGCACAACTTTGCTGTTTTGTGGGAGACCAACACTTTTCAGGTGCTTCTTCACCTCGGGTACAAAGTTCTTATTAAACCACTCGACAAATATTACTCGAGACATCCACGCACTTGGCTGGTTCTTATAAATCACAGGGAGGTACCTGGCTGACTTTAAAGCCCTGGGGTTTTTACTAATTCCAATCACAAGTAATTTTAATTTGTGCATGCCAGCTGCATTTGCACAGCACAACAAAGAAATTCTCTGTTTGTTCTGTTTATAACAACCTGAAGAATCGTCCTCACTACTATGAGCCATCGTTTCTGTGGGAAGCATACGCCAATACAAACCTGCCTCATCAGCATGAGGTTAAACACTTCTCAGGACACCACTCTCCACCTTCTTAATTATTTCAACTTTCTTCTCAAATGTCATCACTGACCTCTTTCTTTTACGTAACCCGCTTGTAGATGCTTTCACTGACACAATGCGTGCATTTGGAGTCGACATGGTGCACGGATGTTCCTTGATTGTGCTGATATGTAAAACAAAGTCACGGAATGAACACTCCAGTCTCGTGACAAATTCAAACAATGGGAACAATAGACCGTGAGTCTGTGACGTCACAGGGTAGCAGGCTGCGCCCGACACGGTCAGTGAGTAAACTAAACCATCTCCCACCTACCCACCCACCCACCACCACGGGCCGGCACAACGCTTGGCTGACCGCTTCCTTACCCGAACTTGGTTCGTGTAGGATAACCCCAACCCCGGCCGGCGTGAAGCTTGGCGGACTACTTCCTACCCGAACTTAGTTCGTGTAACGTGACAACCCAACCCCAATCGGGAAACTGGAAGTTTCGGATAACTAAAGTTCAGGAACCAAGTGGTGCTCTGTATATGACAAAGAGTGCTGGGTAGAAGGGACACCACGAGCGTAGCTCTCATCCTGTAACTACACTTAAGCAACTACACTGAGGTAATTACACACACATATTTACAAAGCTCAATACATACCTGCATCAAACCATACTTTATCTCGACATCATAAAGTTTGTAATTTTTTAGCGTGGGTGGTGGAGGTGCAGGCATATTATCTGTATTTCCAAGAACATTTGCTAGTGATGCAAACACTGGCTCAGTTGCAAATGCTAATGTTTCTCTTGATTCTTCAAGGGGATGTTGAACTGTAAGGACCTGAAGAAAACAAAAAAATTGTAAAACATGAAAATCGAATAATCACAGTAAATTATATTAAATTATAGTAATTCTCAGAATTGTAATTCCCACAAATAGATTGATATTCTATACAGTACAATACAGTAGTTGGAAATCTATTTCCTGGCCACTAAAAACCATCCAAATTCAACAAGTGTCTAGGAAAAATTTACAGACTATTGCATGGTTGAAAATTGCAACCAACACTCAAATATCAAAAGAATTCCCCCAGAGCCGATGGGAGCCGGTCGGTCGAGCGGACAGCACACTGGACTTGTGATCCTGTGGTCCTGGGTTTGATCCCAGGCGCCGGCGAGAAACAATGGGCAGAGTTTCTTTCACCCTATGCCCCTGTTACCTAGTAATAAAATAGGTACTTGGGTGTTAGTCAGCTGTCACGGGCTGCTTCCTGGGGGTGGAGGCCTGGTCGCGGACCGGGCCGCGGGGACACTAAAAAAAAAAAGCCCCGAAATCATCTCAAGATAACCTATAAGAAAACAAATAACTAAAACTTCATCTAACTAGGCCCCCACAAGTTAGCTCCACCTCTCATAGGAGGGAAGTGGGGGCCGGCCCAGCTTGACACAGGCCAGTTCTTGAATGATGAAAAGCCACCGACCTGAAGGAGGGATGTTGTTCCTATCTTGAGGTTATCTTGAGATGATTTCGGGGCTTTAGTGTCCCCACGGCCCGGTCCTCGACCAGGCCTCCACTCCCAGGAAGCAGCCTGTGACAGCTGACTAACACCCAGGTACCTATTTACTGCTAGGTAACAGGGGCATATGTTGAAAGAAACTCTGCCCATTGTTTCTCGCCAGTGCCCGAGATCGAACCCGGGACCACAGGATCACAAGTCCAGTGTGCTGTCCGCTCACCCGACTGGCTCCCCTCAAACTCCCTCCCTCAGGTTGCTTCAGGGCTCACCCAGAACCTGGCTTCTCATTACATTCAATGCTGGTTTTCTGTGGGATGGGGAGCCCCGTAGTCTTCCTGAAGATAACTGTCCACAGAGAAAGTAAAAAAACAGGGGACTTACCAGAGAGGCAGAAGCACTGTAGCTATCAACACGCAGGAGACTGACAGCTGCGTCAGATACCCAGGGAAACAAAAAGCTGCAGAGGGCCAGGAATGTTGACAATGTACCTGGCAGCCAAGATCCTGTTAGACCAAAAAAAAAACCACATGCCTGAATATCGGCCCAAGACATGTTACCATAAACCGCAAACAAAACGCCGTACTTCCGAACATCATGAGCACGAGGGAAGACCACAGGCTGGTTAGCCTTGAAGACACTGCACCCAACCTGAGAGACATGAGCCCTGGAACAGAGAACCAGGGAAACTGGATCAACTCATAACCCATTCATCGAAACAGAACTGGTAGCCCACAACCAGTTGATTAAAGCTGCCACCGGACACAATGCATGATACACCCCTGGCCGAACCAACCAAGCCTCCACAACCAGAGGATCCCTACAGAAGCCCACCATCGCATTCTTCACCAGGAAAGAAGGAGCAGGCTGCAAACGAACAAAACAACCACCACAATCAACGGAACAAAACCCCAAGGAGCATAGCATGAAGCACACCAACCTGACAACCAGAACGCAAACCAATCAAAAACAAAGTCTTCCCAAAACAATCCCGGAAGGTGGTGCATGAGCAGGAAAGAGGTAAAACAAACCCCGAGAGACCCCCCTCCCTTGCAGAACGAGCCCAAAGCGACTGACCCCAAACGTGAGCTGAAGAGGCTCAGCCAACGTCGCACAATAGGAAGCGACAGTATTCTTGATGCTAATCGAGAAAAAGCCAAGAAAGCACCAAACAACCTGGTCAGAAATGGAAGGAAAACAATGGAGAGAGAAAAATGGTGAAAAGTCCCCCAAGAAACCTTATACTAATGCTGAGAAGAAGATCGCGGGTGGGACACCATTAAACCAGTCATCTGATAACCATACAAATAATGATAAATACACATCAGAAAGTCCAAACGAGTAAGGCGGAAAAGAAGGTCGAACTAGCAAGATGTGTCACTCACCCAACTGTCTGATAAAGGCGGAGCCATGGAAAAACGCCTGAGTTTGGACACCATGCAAGCATTGCCTGAAATCAAGGATGGGCAGGCCACCAAGGAGCCAGAAGAATCACTCTTCCCTTGTAGAACTCCGGGCATGCAAGAACCCGGAGCAACAGCTGGACTGGGTGAAAGAGTTAAAAGATACCCCTACCTCGACTAGTCCTGCCAAAAAGTGTCCACCGCGAGAACCTCACAGTTCGGGAACGGCACCACATAAGAAGACAGATGCCGAGACCAAGCCGAAGCTAAGAGGTTCACATCCGGGTGTTCATACATCTGTTAAAGACAAAGGAAGGAATCTGCCTCCACTGTTCACTCAGTGGAAAGGGGAATTAAGCAAGACAGACTGTTGGCTAGGATGCTGGACACTCCCTGAACATGAACCGCGTGGAGCCAAACCCTGAGAACTCAGCAGAAGTGCTACCCGAAGCGACCAGCTGCAAAGAGGCACGGACCAAAGAGACCCCCACCCCTTTTGTTGAGACAATGAACCACAGGGGAACAGTTCGAATGGAGCTGGATCACCGAGCCCAGAGATATCTGAACCCTCTACAGGGCTTTCCACACAGCCACAAACTCCCACACCATGCTGTGAGCCCAACAAAAATGACAACTGCCAACAACCTTGGCTGGTCTGGTGAACACTGGTCACAAAGCCCCAACCAACAGCCGAGGCATCAGTGAAAACATCAAAAGAGGAAGGAGGGAGGAAAGCGTCATGGCACCGAACCCCGAAGAACCCAAAGACACAGCAACTGGCGAAGGAACACCGGAGCCTAGACCCAGCGATCACCAGAAGATACCAGAACAGCCTCCAGAGGCTGTTACCAGAAGATCTGAAGATACCAGAACAGCCTCCAGAGGCTGTTACCAGAAGATCTGAAGATACCAGAACAGCCTCCAGAGGCTGTTACCAGAAGATCTGAAGATACCAGAACAGCCTCCAGAGGCTGTTACCAGAAGATCTGAAGATACCAGAACAGCCTCCAGAGGCTGTTACCAGAAGATCTGAAGATACCAGAACAGCCTCCAGAGGCTGTTACCAGAAGATCTGAAGATACCAGAACAGCCTCCAGAGGCTGTTACCAGAAGATCTGAAGATACCAGAACAGCCTCCAGAGCCAAACCCTACCAAACAGATAAACCAGAAGGGCAAAATTCAGACTCCCGCACAGCTGCTCAAGCAATTGAGCAGCTGAGTCCCATCCCTGAGTCCCAATTGAGTCCCATCCTTCCGGGTCTCACCAGATGTGGGTCTGGTGCAGCTACACGCTCAGGTTAATTTTCTTTCCACTGCCTTAGTAGCTGATGACTTACGGAGAGAGTTGATCCACTACCTTCGAGCCACCATTTCTGTTTCAGTGGACTTATTGTGGGGGGTGATCCGGTTGCTCTGCTTACCTGTTCCAGATCTCGTGTTTCCCAGGTTGTTGGCAGTGTTATTAAAACTAGCCAGCCTGTGGTCTACCCTCGTGTTCATGATGTTCGAATATGCTGCATTGTCGGCTGTTTTTGATAATATGTCTTTGGCCAATATTATTTAGGTACAGGTGTTACGGAGGTCTAACAAGGTTTTGGCTGCCAGGTATTTTGTGAACATTCCTGGACCTCTGCAGCCTTGTTTTGCCTGGGGCATCTGCCGTGGCCTTTGGTCTACTTTGAGTTGATACCTGCGGTGTTCCCACCTCCCTGGTAAGTTTCACTGCTCTTTCCTTATCTGTGGGAAGTTAACTTCAAGGAAGTCAATAGGACTCCTCACAGAAAACCAGTATTGAATGTAATGAAATGCTAGCTTCTGAGTGAGCCCCAGAGGCTCCCTGACACCCTCCTCCCAGGTCAGTGGTGCTTTTCTCATTAACCCTTAAACTGCACAAAACTGCATATGAAGTTTTAAATAACTAACACAAAAATGCACAACACTGCATGTGTAATTTTGGAGTACCACGCAAGATTTAAACTGCCCGCGGATACACGGGGTTCACATCACCTTCCTCAGGGCTCTTGTAAACAGACGCCATTTAAAAAAAAAACGAGGGCAAATTTCCCGGGTGTGAGAGCCTCAGTACTTAGTGAGCCACGAAGGCTGGTGCATGCAGCATGAACTCAAAGCATTGCTGTTCAGCTTGTGACCACAGCATCGCCTAAAAATACCAAAAAAACAGCGTTGAATGTAATGAAACGCCATTTTCTGGGCAAGTCCTGGAGGCTTCCCGGAGCTATCCAGGCCGATATGGATACCCTAATTATTTTGCATCAGTCAATGTAGGTGGAGTTCTAGGCCTACCGGGAATCACGAGCCAGAACCTGGTCTCCTCATAGAGGCACGAGGAGCAATGTCCCATAGAAATGCACATGTGATTAAGAGCATTCTATATCTGCCATCGACTGGGACAGGCACCCAGAAAGGTAAGCGCCACAAAACAAACCCCAATTCTAGTTAAAACAATGAAAAATGCCAACGAGTGGACAGAACTCCCCAAAAGAAAAACGAGCAAATAAGCATGACGTCAATGGAGCCACGACGCATGTCTGCGCAGCTCCCCCTGTTCCCGGGAAGGGGAAGGGGAAGACCCAGACCCCAGCGCCAGCGATCCACCTTTCAGTTCCGAGGCTGGATATCCAAAACGCGAAAAACCGCCGACCTGAGGGAGAGAGGGTTGCCGGGAGCCTCCAGGACTCGCCCAGAAAATGGCATTTCATTACATTCCATGCTGGTTTTCTGGGAGGAGCCCCCTATGGCTCCTCGAAGCTACTTCACCAAAGACAAAAAGAAGAAAAGGGACTTACCCGGAAGGCAGTCGGTGCTCTACACCTCAACTCGAAGTCGAGACAACAGGCTGCAACCGCCGACCCAAAGCGACACAGGTTTGACTAGGCCCAGGGATGCTCATGAGGAAGCATGCAGCCAGGACCCTGTTCGACCGCCAAAAACCCCGCGCCCGAATGTCAGCCCAAGACATGTTGCCAAAGACGGCAGCAAGAATGGCAAACTTACCAACGTTATGGGCACGGGGAGAAACCGCAGGCTAGCTAGACTTAAGTACCCTGCAGACAACCTGAGAGACCCGAACCCGCGAACAAGGAAGAAGGGAAACCGGATCTACCCAAAGCGTGTTCCCGGACACAGAAGCTGTGGCGCGCAAATACCAGCAGAGGGCCGCAACCGGACACAACACATGATGAACCCCCAGCTTGACCATGCAAGTTTCAACAACACAAGGACCCCTCCGGAAAGCAGCAGTCTCGTTCTTTGCCAGAAAAGAGGGAGACGGATGCAGACGAACATACTTATGACCACAACCAAAAAAGTAGAAGCCCTTGCACCGGAGAAGAAATGAAGCTCCCCATCCCGGCCCCAATGCCAACAGAAAAAGAGCTTTAGCAATACTGAACTGAAGGGGCCACAAAAAACCGAGGAGAAGAGAGATAAGAGAGCACTCTGTCCAAAGACCAGAACGGCTCAGGCGGCGCATGAGCAGGCCGGAGGTGAAACAACGCACGAGACAGCTTGCGAAATAAAGCAGAAGTAACATTGATACCAAAAGCAAGCTGCAGCGGTTCCGCTAGTGCCACATGATACAAGGCGACAATATTCGGCATAAGATGAAGGTCCTGGAACAACCAAGTGAGAAAGGACAACACCACCCAAACCGAAAGCGAAGAGTAATGACGGAGAGTCAAAAAGAAAAGGAAGAACCATCAGGAAACTTCATACTGCCGCCGAGAAGAAGCCCGCAGGTGGGACACCATCAAGGAAGCCACCTGATAACCATAGAGATGGTGATAAACCCGAGTCAAAAACACCAAATGCAAAGACTCGAGGAGTACAGCAAACCAGTTTCATACAGGACCGGACCGATCTATTAAAAGAGGCGGAACTGAGAAAAAAACTCCAGGTTCGGACACCGAGCAAGCAGCGCCTGAAACCATGGCTGGGCCGGCCACCACGGGGCCAAGAGGACTACTCGCCCCTGGTAAGTCTCCAAGTGAGCCAGGACCTAGAGCAACAATTTTTTTTTTTTTTTTTTTTTTTTTTTTTGAGATATATACAAGAGTTGTTACATTCTTGTACAGTCACTAGTATGCGTAGTGTTTCGGGCAGGTCCCCGGAATACGATCCCCACCGCGAAGAATCGTTTTTTCATCCAAGTACACATTTTACTGTTGTGTTAAACAGAGGCTACAGTTAAGGAATTGTGCCCAGTAAATCCTCCCCGGCCAGGATATGAACCCATGACATAGCGCTCGCAGAACGCCAGGCGAGTGTCTTACCACTACACCACGGAAACTGTAATTGAACTGGGGAGGGGGGGGGAAAAAGATACAGAAACCTCCACCTCGACCAGTCCACCCGAAAGGCATCGACCCCGACAGCCTCACGGTTGGGGAAGGGCGCCACATACACCAGAAGATGCCTCGACCGCGCCGACGTGAAGAGGTCCACCTCCGAGCGCCCGAACGTTTGGCAGAGTCAACGGAAGGAGTCAGCATCGACTGTCCATTCCGTGGACAGGGGAAACGAAATGGGACAGGCCGTCCGCCAGGACATTGGACAGACCACGGACATGAACCGCCGGGAGAGCCAAACCCTGAGAACTCATCAGGCGAGTCACCCGAAGCGTCCAGCCCCAAAGAGCCAAGGACCGCATCGAACCCCCCACGGTTCAGGCAATGAATCACCGGGGAGCAGCCTGAATGGAGCCGGATCATCGATCCGCAGGCGACCCGAACCCTCCGAAGCGCAAACCTCACCGCCACTAACTTCCACACCGTGCTGTGGGCCCAACGGAAGGACGGACCCCATCGCCCCTGGCCGGCCTGGTGAGTACTGGTCACAAAGCCCCAGCCTAGAGATGATGCGTCCGTGAACACATCGAGCAAGGGCTCGGGCAGGCGCCAAGGCACTGAACCCCGAAAAACCCGAAGAGGAAGCCGGCGACGCAGCAGCCAATGCAAGGCCCCCAGGGGTCAAACCCAGCAATCGCGCGAGAGGTGGAAGGGACATCCCCGAAGAAACCAGAACAACCGACGAAGCTAAACCCGACCCGGCAGGTAGACCTTCATCTCAAAGTTCTGGCTCCCACACAAACCCTCGAGCAACCGTCGGGTGATCTCCCCCCCCCCCTGGACCCCTGAAGAATTAACAAGTCTTCTTGAACCAATCAGACATAGGCCGAAGCAACCTGAATATACTGCGACACAGCCGAAGACGCAAAAAGCATAGGACAAAAAGGCAAAGACATCTTAAGAGCCAGGGCCCAGGCAGATTCCAGAGAAGAAGCAAGCACCGCTTGCCGACACGCAAGCCAGGAAGAGTAAAACAGGGAAACCGCATCCCGCAAGATCGGCGTAAACAGCTTCAACAAGGCAGCTGACAAGCGAGCCGCCGAGCCCAAGGCGCCGGATCCAGGAACGGCCCCAAGCATCCCCAAATCCACCTCGAGCCAGTCCGAAGACAGCTCCAGGAAGGAAAAGAAATGCAAGGCTGAAGCTATAAGGCCCCATGCATGCAAGTCCTCAGGAACCTGCAAAGCCGAAAGGGCAGGAACCTGCACATGGAGCTGCACAACGCCAACATCCCGGGGAAGGGCAGGGGCAAACAAGCACTCATTGAGGTGCTCAAGGTCGCCCCCCCAGGAAAACCTGAACCGCCGTCGACGCCTCACGCCACTAAAGCGTGCAGGAACAACAGAAGGAATGCCAAGCCTCCAAAGCAAACACAGAACAGTCCGTCAGCCAGGACGACTCTGGAACCTCGTAACGGACCCAGAAAGGGAACAAAGCCCAAACCTGAAAGACAACAGATCCATCACCGAGGCGTAATCCGGGTCACACAGGAGGTCAGCCGCAAGGGCCGCCCGCACCGCAGACGGTTGGATGCAGGAAGCCAAAATCCTCCAAAAAGACGAAACCGACACACACAGGGTAACATGGAACTGAACCAGGGGAGGGGCAGACACCAAATCAAACTTGTTCGCAGAGGGGGGAAAAGAGAACCCCACTCCTTGTAACAATAAGTCCTGCTCAGAGGGTAGAAAAACCCAGACGGAGTCCAGCGGGGCCCCTTGCCCCAAGTCAGCCCCTCCCCCGCCCCAGGATCCTCCTCCGCAGGACCCAGGGCCAAGTCATCTCCCGAAGCACCGGCCCCTAAAGGAAAGGCCAGCGCAGCTGAATAAGCCGGACAGAAGCAGGCCCACTGGGCAGACCCAGAGGCTTCGGCAGGGAGATCGGACTCAAATGCTTCCGTCGCCACACCAGAAGGAGCATCCCCCAAGACTGGCCAAGTTTCAAGACCATCTAAACCCTGCCCCGACTCTGAAACCCAGGGATAGGTGTAATTACCTGTCCCAACTATCAGTTGTGTTGTTTGACCCTTTTCTCATACAAATTTTGGTGGTTTTGATTCCTTATCCAACTTTTTCATCCAATATTTCATTGAATGGATGTTGGATTTCATCCAATCTGGAGCATCAGTCAAATGGAGTTCAGCCTACCGGGAATCACAAGCCAGAACCTTGCCCCACTCAGAGAGGCACAGGGAGCAATGGCCTATGGAAACGCCCATGTGTTTGGGAGCATTCCATGTCTGCAGCGACCTGGATTAAGCACCCAGAAAGGTAGGCATAACAAAACAGACTCCATTTGGCAAGAAAATTGCAACTGAAGACCGAACAGAGAGGCAGAACTCCCCCAACTCAAAGAAACAAGCAAACGACATACGCTGCCGCCACGCCGCTTGTCTGCACAGCCCTCCCCTCCTGGGAAGGGAGGGGGGAACCCTGGACCCCCCTCCCCATGCCGGCTACTCTGTTCCTTTCTGTTCTGTTTTTGGTTGAAACTTTCTTACCAAGTGGGGTCCGTTTTGTTGTGCCGCTCCCAAACACATGGGGTTTTCCATAGGCCTCGCTCCCTGTGCCTCTCTGAGGGGGCCATGTTCTGTCTCGTGGTTCCCGGTAGGCTAAACTCCATTTGACTGAAGTTCTAATATTGCGTATATCAGTCCAATAGCTCCAGGGAGCCAGAGGGGCTCCCCACAGAAAAATGTGCATTCTAACTGATGGTCCTCATCTTGTGCACTATGACTTGTAGTAATTCACCGAGCAAGATTTCCATTACAAGCAAATAAATTTAGATATAAACAATACCTGTGGATGCCTTAACCGTGTAAGCTGTGATACACCTTTTCGTAACTTTTCCAACATGGACTCTCTCTCTTGCTTATCCCACTTATCTACTTGACGCTTTTCGAACACAAATATGGCCGCTTCCTGCTTTGTTGACTTCTTATACCCTTTGTACACTTTCCAAACTAAACCTGGAATATAACAAATTTGTTAAAAAATTCTTAATGAAGACAGCAATTATGCTGAGGAAGTCATCGATTAGTTACAGCATTATCAGACGGAAGTAAATATACAAGGAATTTAATTGCAGCTTATCTAGAGCATATTTGAAGTAGATGGGAGTCACACATAAAATTTTAGACCATTAACCACTGCACTATGCTGCATTAAAATATGACACCCCCTGTGGTGTGCAGAAAATAAATTATTTCCCAAAAATTATTTTATCTTCTTATATTGTTAAAATGCAGATCACAAGAAACTAAAATAAAATATTGTATGTGACATACTTTAGCTACGATGGAGCTGAGAAGTTAAGCAATTTATGGACGATGAGTGATGAGACACTTGGGGACACTCTGCCACCCCATGGGGTGGCAGTTGCCGCAAATAATATTTTTCATAATTATTTCAATGTCTTTCATTTGTTTCTTTTCTGGTTTTTGCTGTAATATTATTCAAAAGTGTGTAATAAGTAGATTTTATATAGTTCAATGTGCAGAACATCGCTATGCTCAAAATTATGGAGCTCATATATGGTGACATTTAATTAAATTGAGATAAATCAGTGTTTTTGTCATACACTATATACACACATTGCATATAACTATTTACATTTTAGTGTCCCATAATGAACCACAAAGATCGTGCGTTGAGAGTTTATATACACAGAACAACAATCCAAGGTCAGCCTAGCGGCCGACAGCTGAGTGTAGAAGGGGGCTACCCCAAATATATTTTTGCATAATTATTTCAGTGTCTGTGAATCGTTTTATATCTAATTTTTGCAGTAATATTATTCAATAGTGTGTAATTTGTGGAATTTATATAATTAAATGTCAGGAACATCACTATTCTCAAAAATATAGGGCTCATATAGGGTGACACGTATATTCTTAGATCAACCAGTGTTCTTGCTGTTATTATGCTATACAGTACAGTACAACCTCGATTCAACGTGCAGTACTGCATGGGACCAACTCCAGTGCGTTGGAGCGTTGGATTCGTTGCAAGAGGTGACCTTCAGGAGGCAATTGCGTCTGTCTTTTTTTTTCTGGTACACAATAAAAATGTGTTATCATATTACATACTGTATCTATATGTTACTACTCTACTAAAAAACCAGCGTTGAATGTAATGAAACGCCATTTTCTGGGTGAGCCCCGGAGGCTCCCTGGAGCTTATCGGGCTAATGTGTGTTATGTTAGACCGGGACATTAGCTAAGGAGTTCAGACCTACCAGGGACCAGCGCCAGAACCTGGCCCCTTCAGAGAGGTTTCAGGGAGCAATGGCCCTGAAAAACCCCATATGGTTGGGGGTTTTCCTTATCTGCCATCGACCGGGGTTAGGCACCCAGAAAGGTAGGCGTAACAAAACAAACCCCACATGGTAAGAAACTACAACAAAAACCGAACAGAGAGGTAGAAAACTCCCTACAATCCCAAGGAAACAAGCAAACAAGCAAACATCACACTTTACTGCCGCGCCGATCGTCCGCGCAGCCCTCCCCACCCCGGGAGGGGGAGGGGGGAGCCCCGGACCTACCGCGCCGGCTGCCAAGCTCCAGTTCGGAAGCTAAGCGTCAACCAACGCGAAAAAACCGCCGACCGGTGGGAGGGAGGGTTTCCAGGGAGCCTCCGGGGCTCACCCAGAAAATGGCGTTTCATTACATTCAACGCTGGTTTTCTGTGGGGAGCCCCTACGGCTCCCTGGAGCTTCATACCCAAAGAGAAGGAAAAGAAAGGGCTAACCCGGGAGGCGGCCGCCACAAACTCTGCAACGCAAAGCCAAGACAACCGGACGCAAACCTGCGACCCAAGGCAACAAGAACGCCCAAGAACAGACGCACACATGGATGGGCGGCCAAAAACCTGTGCGACCCACAATTCCCTGCGCCCGAAATGAGCCCGAGACGTCACCAACACAGCAGCAATTGCTGCAAACGTCTGAACAGCACGGGCGCAAAGACAGACCGCAGTAAGAAGGAAAACACTGCGGACGACCCGGGAGACCCGAGCCCTGAAAACAGGGAACGAAGGAACCGGATCAACCACAGCGCATCCCCAGGCATGGTACGCCGGCAACAGCAAAAAGCACAACTGGACAACACAGGACGCACCCCCCGGCCAAACCAAACAAGTACCAATACCCCAAGAACCCCTCCGGAAAGCAGCTGCCTCGACCGTCGCCAGGACAGAGAAAGGCTGCACACCAATAAAGCTACCACCAGTACCAAAGAGGAGGAAACTGAAACCGAAGGGGCTACCACAAACTGAGGGGAAGAGAAGAAGGCACCCTGAACAAGGACCAGGATGGCTCAGGCGACTCATGAGCAGGCCGGAGGGGAAACAAAACGCGAGAAGACGTAATAAACGTCATACAGTCTCCAAGACGAAGCTCGCAGGTGGGACACCGGCAACAAAGCCACCTGAACACCATAGAGATGGCGATACCTGCGTCAAAATACCAGACGCGAAGAGCCAAAGAGAAGGCCGAACCAGTCACGGACAGGACCGATTCGGCCTGCTGAAAGAGGCGAAGCCTCAGGAAAAACGCCCCGGGTACGGACACCTATCAAGCAGCGTCTGAAAAGAAGGCCGGGCCGGCCACAGTGGAACCATAAGGACTGTTCTCGTGGGAATGGGCTGCAACTGAGCCAGAACCCGAAGCAACAGCTGGACCGGGAGAAGAGGTACAGGTACCCCCCACCTCGACCAGGCCTGCCGAAAGCCTCCACCGTGAAGACCTCGCAGGTGGGAAGGGCGCCACAAAACGGGCGACGCCTAGACCACGCCGACCCGAAGACGTCCATGGCCATGAGTCCATAAGCCCAACAGAGCCAACAAAACGCATCGGCGACGACTGGCCAACCCACGAAGAGGAATGAACCGAGACAGCTGTCCACCAGGACGCAGGACACACCCCGGACACGAACCACACTGTTAACCAAACCCCCCTTGTGGTTCCGGCAAGAACCACCGGAGAACAGTCCAAACAGAGCTGAATGGTAGAGTACCTAGTGACCCAAACCCTCCGAAGCGCAAACCAGACAGCCATGAACACCTGAACCGGGCTGTGAGCCCGACGGACAGACAGACTCCATCAACCTCGGCCGACCTGGTGAGCACTGGTCACAAAGCCCCAGCCGAGAGACGACCCGTCCGTGAACACATCGAGCGAAGGCTCGGGGAGCCGCCAAGGCACGGAACCCCGAAAACCCCAAAGAGGAAGCTGGTGACGCAGCACCAACACCAGATCCCCAGAGGAACCCAAGGAATGCAAGAGGCGGAAGTGGAGTCTCCGTAGGAACCAACCGACGCCGGAGCCAAACCCGACTCCGCGGGCAGACAAGCACGCCGAAGTGCAAACTCCCGCACAACCGCCCAAGCAACCTCTGAGCAACCCGGGACCCCCTCCTGAACAGCCAAAGGCGGGACCACAGCCACAGTAACACTTCTGGAGGGAAGACAATGAGGGGCCCAAGAGCCTGAAACAAGGCCCAGGTCCGAACCCGGGACGGAAACAGAAGGTAAAACCCCCAGATCACCAGGAAACCAAACCCAGCGATCTGGAAAGAACCATCCCCTGGCGAGCAGACAAGCGGACTGACTGGGAGCCCACTCCAGCCAGTCGTCGAGGTAGGCCAGACACCGAATCTCAGACGCAGACAGGGCACTAAGATCCGGTAAAGATGCAAAGAGTATACAAAGTGCCCTTCACAAAATAGGGAATGCAATAAAAACAGCAAACCTGAAAGCCCCACCACCAAAGCATTGTATGACAATCATATGAAGACATATTACGACATATGACAATCATTACATGACAATATGACAATTATAATCAAAGCATTATATGACAAAGAGTGCTGGGAAGACGGGACACCACGAGAGTAGCTCTCATCCTGTAACTACACTTAGGTAAGTACACATAGGTAATTACCAACCGTGCTAGCCCCAGAAAAACTGGAGAGGAACGTGCCAAGAAGTGGCCTGGAGGACCAGGTCCACCATCCATGCACCCGGCCCTAACAGAATCCGAACAGGAGACAACAGTCCTCCGAGCAGGGCAGAGGATCCAGGGCGCAGACGGAAGTAGTCCAGAAGAACTGCAGACTGGAAAAGCTCATGACTGCAAAGAGCAGACGGGAAAAACTCATGACTGCAAAGAGCAGACGGGAAGCCCAGAAGGATGGGGCGGATCGACCACGCCCCACGCACCCACGAAGAGGAAATGACGAAGCGCAGGGAAGAAGCACACCCCGCCAGCTCTGAACCCCCCCCAAGGGGGAGAAGCCGTCCTCCGACGCCAGCAGAGGCCGGAAGACAACCCAAAGCGCCCACCAACAGCGGGACCAAGCGAGAGGCAACAGAGCAAGCTGCTCCCCCAGCGCCCAGTCAACAGAGAAGGGAACAGAACCCCTTCAGAAAGAAAAAGTACACTACCGAAGTCATGAGGAGAGACTACGGGAATGAAACCACACTTCGCTGGAAGAGGAAGTGAGGGGAGACCTGATCACCACATACAAGATACCCAAGGGAATCGACAGGGTTGAGAAGGGCAGGATATGTAACACAAGGGGCACACGCACTAGGGGACACAGGTGGAAACTGAGTACCCAAAAGAGCCACAGATAGAGTTTTTTTTTTTTTTTTTTTTTTTTTTTTTTTGAGTGTCAGAATGGGAACGGGAAAGCACTAAGAAGTAATGTGGCGACTCCTCACACAAGTAACGAGGCTGACCCCCATACAATGTCACATGTAGACATGACAGAGCCCAAGAGGCACAGGAACCGATACACCTTCAACAATCAACATATTGATATTTCAACAATCCTAAGTATTGTAGTACAGGTTGATGGTAGTGAGTGGTGTCCCACAGAACATAAAGGTATAGTGCTCTTGAAAAATAGGTGAGATAACAGGAAAGTGCTAAGGGAAGTGAAGAATCGGATGAGAAAAAGTTGCCCTA